CATGTGTTCTTTTGTCTTATATGTTATGTAATAATTATAAAGACCATATAATTATTATTTTTTACACACTTAAATTTTAGTTTGATAATATTTTTTTCTTCTCACTTAACCTTTTTCCTTTTTCTTTTCTCTTTCCCTAACGATAATATAACGGCTATTTTTTTCAAAAAATTACCTCTATAAATATTTCAACTTCTTCCATAATTTTTACATCATTCTCAAAACTTCTACCCATATTTTTCAAATGGCTAAAATTCTTCTTTTGTTCATCACTCTACTTGTAATTATTTTGTTTATCATCAGTGTTATCAAACATGAAGAATTAGGTAATGATTTTGTAGCTTTGATAATAATTATCGTCTTACCATTAATAGTCTTAGTTTGGTTTATTAGTATAGGTTTTTAAATAATATGTAGTAACGAATTTTGTAATTGAATAAATTATTTTTCTTAGTTTATGTATTTAATATTGTTTATGTTCATCTGAATTATAGATATAATCATGTCAAATCTTAAGTATCAATTCAAAATTCTAAGCATAACTGGGGACAAATTCATAACCTAGAACAACAATTTAATTGAATACCTTACATGTGAGGGACTTAACAAAATACTTGAAGGAGACAATTCTGGAAAATCGACAGATGACCCAGATGAAATGGAAAAAAGAAAGTCAAAAGTGAATAGAATAATCAAACATCATCTTGATGATGGATTACAAACCGAATATTCAAATGCTAAAGATCCCAAGATTTTATGGGACAAAATTAAAGCAAGATTTGGACATCAGAAGAAAGTCTTATTACCCTCATTAATGGGTCAGTAGAATAAGTTGAGATTCCAAGATTATAAAAGTGTTGTTGCATATAACTCTCCCATGCACCAGATTATAGCACAACTAGAATTTTGTGGCAAAAATATAACTGAAAAAGAAAAATCGGAAAAAACTTTTTCAACTTTCCATGCAACCCAGGTATTATTGCAACAATAATATATAATGAGAGAATTTGTTGAGTATTCTGATTTATTTGCAGTCCTTCTAGTGGCAGAAAAAAATAAAAAACTCCTTATAAAAAAAATCACCAGACACGACCCACAAGAATAATTGTATATCCTGAAATAAATGGCACAACCTTTAATCGTGGGCGTGGTGGCTTTAATTGTATTAAGAGACGTGGTGGACATGCTCATTTTGATGGTAATAAAGGTTGTGTTCATTTTGATGGTCACAGTCAAGGAAGATACCATGGCCGAAACCATTTTTGTGGTAGAGGACGTGAACGAGGTCATATGAATAATTATAGATCTCCCAGGTATGACCAAAATAATTAGAATCGCCAAAGAAATGGTAGGTATGTCCAAGAAGGTCCCTCGAGAAATTATGAAGAATTATGCTACAGATGTGGAAAGAAAGACCATTGGTCTAAGGTGTGTAGAACACCAGAATATTTATGTAAAAGACAAATGGCATCTGTAGAGAAAAGGGGGAAAGAAATGAACTTTAATGAAATTGAACCCAGAGATGATATTACCTATTTTGAGACTCTTGATTTCATTGAAGGACCAATGAATTAAATAACTATTTGCATAATAAGTAATGTGCTTGTATTAATTTGACATTTGGACTATGTATCGTCTTAAGAATTTGTATGTGTATCTTATGTTTGTATAATATAATAATGTTAAATATATTGTTGATTTACTCTCTATTTAATCTTATTTCTATTTCAAAAGGGTTAGACATGGAACATGTGAAAGACATTTGTATTCCGGACAGTAGAACTACACATAAAATCCTCAAAAGTAAGTATTTTACTAAAATAAATCCTACTAAAGGTGTAATAAATACAATCTCAGGTCATGCAGATTTGATAGAAGGAATAGGTAATGCTACGTTCATATTATCAAATGGGACAAAGTTTATCATTAATAATGCTTTATACCCTCCAAAATCAAAGAGAAAATTGTTGAGTTTTAATGACATATATCTTCAAGGATATGATACCGAAACTGCAACTGAAGGTAACATGAAAAACATTAATATCACTGCTAATGTTTTGGGAAAGAAGAAAACTTTAGAAAAAACTACCAAATTGTCTTATGGACATATATACGTGAAATTGAATGCAATTTAGTAGTAAAAGAAGATCCAAAAATTGTGAATTTATGGCATGACCGTTTAGGTCACTCTAGTTTAACAATGATGCGTAAAATAGTTGAAAGTACACATGGTCATCTATGGAAAAGTTTAAAACTTACAAAAGAAGATAGAACATGTGAAGCTTGCTCTCTTAGCAAACTAATAACAAAGCATTCACAAGAAAAGATTCAGACAGAATCACCTACATTTCTTGAAAGAATTCAAGGTGATATATGTGGATCTATTCATCCACCGTCATGACCATTCAGGTACTTTATGGTATTAATGGATGCATCTAGTAGATGGTCATATGTATGTTTATTGTCAAGTCATGATATGGCTTTTGCAAAATTTCTTGCACAAATAATTAAACTAAGAGCTCAATTCCCTGATTATATCATAAAGAAAATCAGACTTGACAATGCTGGTGAATTTACATCTGAATTATTTGATAATTATTGCATGTCAATTGAAATTGTTGTTGAACATTATTTTTCGCATGTGCATACACAAAATGGTTTAGCTGAGTCATTAATTAAACATCTTCAATATATTGCTAGACCATTGATAATGAGAACTAAACTACTAGTTATTGTTTGGGGTCATGCAATTTTACATGCTGCAACACTCATACGTTTAAGGCCAAGTGCTGATCATATACATACCACTTGTCAACTTGCAATTGATAAAGAACCTAATATTTCACATTTAAAGATTTATGATTGTGCAGTATATGTCCCAATAACTCCACCACAAAGAACAAAGATGGGACCTCAAAGGAGATTGGGAGTATATGTCGAATATGAATCACCATCTATTATTAGATATCTTGAACCTTTAACAGGTGGTGTTTTTCAGGTAAGTTTGTTGATTGTCATTTTGACGAAACAAAATTTACATTAGAGGGGGAAACAAACAATCAGAAAATGAAATATCATGGTATGTACCACATTTATTACATTTGAACCCATATAATAAACCATGAGAAGAAAATGTAAAGAAAATTGTGCACTTACAAAATTTAGCAAATCAACTGCCAGATTCATTTACTAATTTGAAAAGAGTTACAAAGTCACATGTACCAGCTGTAAATGTCCCAACTCGGATTGAGATTTCAAAACTAAATTATGTAGCAAGTATATCTAAGACACACTTGAAGCGCGGTCGACCTATGGGATCCAAAGACAAAAATTCCTGGAAAAAAAAGGAAATAAAATTGATTAGAAGTGATCTTGAAAAGACACTAGGTGATAATAAATCTATGATTGAAAAACGTGCTCTCGAAGAAGCACAAGATGATGATAATAAGATAATTGAGAATGAAGCTGAAAACAAGAATAATCTCAAGATTTCAATTAATTATGTTAATCCAGGAAATTTATTAACCGAAAAGGTATGAATATTGATGAGATATTTTCATTCTCGATTGCATACGAAGTTATGAATAAATATGATGATCCTGAACCCCAAACTATGAATGAATATTAAAATAGACATGATTCAAAAAATTAGAAGGATGTTAAAGATACTGAATTAAATTCTCTTAATAACCGAAGAGTATTTGACTCTATTGTGGCTATAGCTAAAGGTGTAAAATTTGTTGGGTATAAGTGAATTTTTGTGAGAAAGCGAAACGAGAAAAACGAGATTGTCAAATACAAAGTCCGTCTTGTTGCACAGTTTTTACCAAAGATCAGGGATCGATTATGAGATAACATATTCTCCTTTTATGGATGTCATTACTTTTCGTTATTTAATTGGTTAATCAGTATTTAATAATCTTGATATGTACTTATGGATGTTGTTACTGCTTATTTGTATAGATCACTTGATAGTGATATATACATGAAAATTCCATAAGGATTTAAAAGGCATGATACATCAAAACTGAAAGAAATATATGCGATTAAGTTGTAAAGATCATTGTATGTGTTAAACAGTAAGGATGCATGTGGTATAATAGACTAAGTGAATATTTGCTTAAAGAATGATATGATAATAATCCCATTTACCCTTTGTGTTTTTATAAGAAAATAATATTTGGGTTTGTAATAATTATGTTTATATTGAGGACTTAAATATCATTGGAACTAACAAAGAAATCAAAGAAGCAAGTAATTATTTGAAGAAAGAATTTGAAATGAAAGACCCACCTTGACTTACAGATTGAGTATACTAAAAATAGTATATTGGTACATCAATCAAATTATACATAAAAGGTGTTGAAAAAGTTCAACATGTACAAAACAAACCCTTTGAAGTCCAATGATGGGTAAGGCTATTAGTATTGAAAAGGATTCTTTTAGGCAAGAAAATTAATGAAGAGGATCCTGGCCTAGAAGTACCATGCCATACTCATTGGGGCACTCATGTACTTTACCAACTTGATATATTTTTTACAGAGTACTTTACCAACTTGATATATTTTTTACAGTGAATTTACTAACAAAATTCAGCACATGTCCTACAAAGATTAGTCAGTAGTAAAACTGACCAACAAAACTACATAGATGTACAACAAAACTCCGGTAAAAAACTTTAAGCACGTTTGACATACGAAAATGAAATTTGTTCTAGTAATGAAGTTTCTTTGATACTATACGTATGGAAATAAAGGTATAAAAATACTTTTGAACCGATTTAACATCAAAAATAAAAATTTAATTGTAAAATTTATAACAAAATAATTAACCAAACATCTGCAAGTGCCACCGGAATTTCGGATACATAAGATATTCCAACAATTCATACTAAACAATAATGACCAAAACTGCCCAACAAAACTACTAGAACTAAATTAAAAAGCATAAGTTATAAGTTTTTTAAGTATCCTCCTGACGGAAGATATGTTTCAGCCAATCTACTCGTCGTCGGCAAAAGTAGTCTTTTTTCCTGAAAAGGGAAGTTGAAATAACCATCAAAAATCAGGACAGAAAATGAATGAACGACATTGATAAAATCAGGTTTCCAAAAACGGAGAAGAAAAAATCTTTAGGAAAATAGTCATCAGAAATACGTACTTGTTATTATGAAAATACGTAGCAAATAGTCATTAGAAATGATAAATAAAATGATAACTAATGCTGTGAAATCTAGTTATAACTTTGAAAAACAATCAATCTGAGAAACGTAGGCTAAACAGAATGTAAAGTAATTATTTACATTGAAATTAAAATGAATGAAAGTTATAGGCAACAAAAAAAACTTGTTAAAAATAAAAACCAACTGCAGAAGAGACAGCAAAAACATAGTAAAACACAGTAGTTAGAAGAAAACTATACCTCCTGAAACAATACTTGGTTTATTGAATCCAAAACGGCCACCCCTTCTACCGCCATCCCTTCCACCCCTTCTACCGCCATCCCTTCCACTAAATCGACCTCCATGACCACCCCTGTCAAAACGACCTCTACCACGACCTCCATGGCCACCCCTGTCAAAACGACCTCCACTGCTTGGAGCATCTCTAGCTTTGGCTTCATCCACTGACAACGAGTAACCATCAAGTTCACTTTCATGGAGTTCTAGAGCTTTGTTAAAGCTTTCAGAATCTTTGAAGTCCATGTATGCGAACCTGTAAATAACATTGTAAGTGTCAGACTGTAAACAAACTGTATACTCAGTGAGTTCTCAATTAACATTATGATAAACATACCCCTTCACATAACCAGAATCATAATCTTTTGGGATTGACACCCTTGAAGGCTTCCCGCAAGAAGCAAAATGTTGCTCCAACTTAGCTCTAATCTGTGTATTTATTAGCAAAAGATGTCAAGATAAAGACTAAAAATGCACATTATCATAATAAACAAGACAAAATAGGAAAATAAATTACCTCATCCTCCCCAAGAGATTTATCAAAACCCCTGACAAATACAGTTTGGGACTGGCCTTTACCACTGTTGGGGCCAGAGAAGTTGCTACAAAAATTAAAAAATATATGTTACAAAGGAATTATTACAAACGACAAATATTAAATAAAATAAATAATGAATAACATACCTGTTACTATTTGGAGTGTAAGCTCCCCTTTCCCGAGCTAAATCAAGTCGGACACCTCTTTGCAACAATTCCTGCCCATTCAACTCAAGTGCCTACAATAAAAAACACAAGCTAATGAGTAACACGTGAATCTAGAGGTATATGACTCTTAGACAGTGTTATAAGCATACACGTTGGGCTGCCTCTGCAGTCGCAAACTCAACATGTCCAAAGCCTTTGAACCTCCCATCCTCGTCTGAAGCAAGACGGACATCAACAACTTCTCCGCATTCTTGAAAGAAATTTTCACTGGATAATTCAATGTAGTTAGTTTATATAGAATAAGATTACAAAACACGCATGATTGAGAAAAAATAAGTACATGTCAGGTCGATCGACTTTGAATGACAGGTTCCCAACAAATAAGGTCTTTGAACCTCCATTTTCATTTGGTGTAGCTGGGGTAGCAGGCTGCAAAATTTAAAGGCCAAGTCAAGTACATTCCTAATAAAACTATTTTTAGTGCGATTGTTAATGAAGATTTGTTTGAAGGTGAAGATTAATTACAGCTTTCTTTGAAGATTTGTCAGCATCAATCATCTCCACATCTTTAGTCTGTTCAAGCAAGGGTAAGTTAGTATTTCAAAAAAAAACAATCCAGAAATTAAGGCCGAGCAAATAAAAACAATATGCTAACCTTTTTTTGAGGTGTTTCGGCTGGTTCATCCTCACTCTCCGCTTCACTGTCACTTTCCTCAGAACTGCTATCCTTGTCAACATTCATCTTATCCTGTTGATTGCACATGTTCCCAGTGTATAATAAATAACATGATTTAAAAACATTCAAATATAAATTGTCACTAAAAATGTGTCCAGGCTACAAAATGAGTATTGGTCATCACCAAAAAATATTCTAAGATTCTCTAACCTCTTTCTTAACAGCCACTGCCTTCTTGTTCCCATTAGCAGTTTTGGAAGTTTTCTGCAGCATCAAGAAAACAACAAAATTAGTAAACTACTAAAAAGTCAAATTTTGCATTGCTTTTCATTTAAATGTAAAGCAACTTCACATCAAGGATATAAAACAAGTAAATTAAGAAAACAGGCAATCAAGTAGAAACTTTACATGATCTTCATCAGAGCTGCTATCATCTTCTTCACTGCTATCTTCATCATCATCCTCAGTCTTTTTGGCAAGAGGAACTGGCTTAGACACTGCAGTTACAGTAGCCTTGGTATCCTATAAAGGTGGTACAATTTAGATGTTTATAAATTAATAACACTCAAGCTAACATCAGTTTCTATGATGCCTTTCTACTAGAAGAATAGAATATGTTAATTAACACATGTTTTCTTTTTGTAGAAATGAATCATGGAAACTACTTAGAGTAATAGTATGGGCTTAAATTAAATAGTATGCTAAATATAGTCAATAATGAAATCATCGGAGTTTATTTACAAGAAAAATACCTCATCATCTTCAGACTCCTCTGAGCTATCAGAATCAGAGCTTTTAGCTGGCTTCTTTGCAGCAGCAGACTTCACAGCAGCAGGGACAGCCTTAGCTTTTGGTGCCTGAATAGGTTATGGTAAGTAGGTCATAACAGGTAATACAGTCAATATTAAACATCAAATACAAATAAGGAAGCCCCAATATTTTCATGGTTGGCCTGAGACAATAACTCACTTCTTCATCAGAGGAAGAATCTTCATCCTCATCAGACTCCTCTTCAGAAGAACTGGCAGCTTTCTTTGCACCACCATTTTTAGCAGGAACAGGTTTTGGAACAGGTTTCTGAATGATATACAAGGTCAATAAATTGATAAAAAACAGAATACATCATGCAATAAATTACAAAGTGACTCCATACCTCATCTTCAGATGATTCATCATCAGATTCTTCATCTGAATCATCAGAACTTTCCTCTTTCTTTGGTGCCTGCTTAGGTTTAACAGCAACCTCAGCTTTCTTTGGTGCCGTCTTCTTTGCACTTGCATCATCCTCATCAGAAGAATCATCGTCATCAGACTCAGAATCTGAAGAACTAGACTCGGGCTTGGCTTTCTTAGCATTCCCGTTCTTAACAGGTGCCTTCTTGACAGGGGCGGCAGCTTTCACAACTGGTTTCTGAGACAACAGAAGAAAATAACATCCCATAAGTAAACCACATAACAATAACCAAAAATAATTTTCTAATTGATGAGAGAAAAATATACCTCATCCTCAGATTCAGATGAATCCTCATCTGAACTGCTTTCCTCCTTAACTTTCTGAACCACAGCTTCCTTCTTTTGCTTAGCAACAACCTCCTCTACCTTCTGCTTCTTAGCACTCACTTTCTTGATTTCTTCCTCAGGCTGCCTCTTGCCTATACATCAAAATCAAAACAATCAAATAGAAAATCAAAAGAAATTAAAAAGTCATGAATCAAAGCAAATCAAATCAGGACAGTAAAGCTGCGGCGGCGAAATTATGTGAAATTATGCGAAACGATTATTACCTTTCTTTCCAGACTTGACTGGTGAAACAACAACGGGAGCAGCATCAACCTTCAAACATAACAAAAAGAAGGGAAAAAACGATAAAAAAAAATACGATTAACGAAAATAATCGAGTGAGAACTGCAAGGAACAAGAGATCGGAAGCACGCAAACCTTGGTGGCGGATTTCTTGCTTGACTTGCCCATCTGAACGAAAGAGATGAAACACGGAAGAGAAAGAAGAAATGGGAGAAACTGCGGAAGCTATTCAAAACCCTACGGCTGAGAGAATTAGGGTTTTGGGGATGGCTGAGAGTGAGGAGATTTATGTAAGTGAACGGCTGAGGTAGCTTTTATATACGAATGAAAGGGGTTTCACTCAATCTTGCTACTATGTTTTATGGGTTAGGGTTTTGGGCTTTTTGGTACACGTGCCTCTTGAAGCTGTGCGTTTTGATATTAGGTTTGCCCAAAGATATTTTTCTCTCTCATCTCTCATCTACTTTTGAAGATTTTTTTCATACACAAATATTGGAAAAATATTTGATTAAACAAAAAGTTCTCTACATTTTTTACAACAAAAATCTATTTTTGTAACCAATAAATATTGATAGTATAATACTATCGCAAACCTTTGAAATTTTATCTTTTAAATTTTACTTTTAGAAGTGGAATCCCTTTAAACATGATTGATTAATAAGTAATATAGTAAACTAAATAATGTATTAGATTGTTAATTTTTTTTCATGTATAATTGATCTTCTTCTTTCTAAACGTTGATCTTTTTCTCGAACGAATCAGACAATGAACTTTTGAAACCATGGTGATTTCGAAGATTATTAAACTTTTTCGATGAACATCATGTCATTACTCTAACAACTGATGTTAATGAACCTTGCCCTCCTATTCTAGTAGAGAATTATCCAGACTTCCTGACCTATGTGCAAGAAGATCTCGTTCCTCTAATAATTGAATGAGGAATGTTCCAAGCTTGTCATATGCAAACCAAGGTCAACTTTTGCAATAACTCTCGTTATAACGTTTTATATTAGGGTAAGAGATGATCATATATATTCAAAATTTATAGGTTAACCCAGACATGCAATGAACTATTAACATATTGAATAATGTTTATAACTTAGTACATCGGCAAAACTCTCAAGCCCTAATTGATAAGATATTTTGAATTGAAGAGAACTTACAATGTGTTCCTCTAAAAGCCAAAGCTACATGAGCGACAACGAAAGAGTCATACCATAATGAGCTAGTGTAAATAAAATTTCACCACGTGTATGAGTTTATTGGTCATTGAGTTTTAATTGGAGTAGAAGACATCATACTTCATTGCCCGACTCTAGAGGGATAAGCAACAATCACAATCTACCAAAGGTTCTCTAGACCTATAGCTCGCCAATCCACTACTCATAAAAAATGGAAAGGCATGACATGTATGCCTTGTCTCATAGTGGAAGAAAAACTCATTCTTCGAGCGCATTATTGACAAGAGGATCTAAGAATCTTGAAATTCTGACATGCATAATATTAGAAGTCAAGATTGGTGTCTTAACAACACACAGTGTCACAACAGATGTTACGATATCTAATGACATGACAACAAACAAGATAATAATAACGCAGAATTATAACTTGCGGAAGGTAAAGGAATACAAGAATTGTTAACTCAGTTCGGTGCAAATTCACCTACTTTGGAGGCTACCAAGCCAGGAAGGAAATTTATTATTAGCAGTATTAATTTAAAGTTAAACAATCCCAGTTTACACCTCTCACTTAATTTATACTCAGTGCAACTTCTATCTGGGCACCTCCTATATATGAGAACCCTCTCACTCCCAATCACCGCAGTGATAAAAGACCAATCTTAATCCCAATAATGTCTGAAGAAACCAAAAAGGAATAACACACTTCCAAATTACAAATACTTTTTTGCTTAAAAGCTTCACTAAGAACGGTACTCAACTTTTGCTTAAAAGCTTTGAGGAGAATAATAACTTGATAAACAAGTAACAATCAGTCAACTCAAATGCATCAAAAGATACATGTGAACATAGAAAAAACACACGGAGAACCTAAGGACTATCAAACCCTAAATCCTTATTTTTCACAAGGTTTTACAATAAAAACTATGCTTAAAAAACTAGGTCTTGGACGACTCTTTATATAGACTTTTGAAGTTGGGCTTCGACTCTTCAGTCAGATATAATCTTCAGCTCTAAATTCCTACAAAATCTTCTCCACAAAAATAGAAACAAAAAATAAATCTTTCAAATATTTCCTAAAAGGTGTCAAAGATCCTTTTTATGAAATAAATCAAATCTATAATTATTCCTAACAATCATTGATTGGTTACGCCTGTTATGAGTACTAGAAACCTCCAGAATCTCATATTTTAAAATCAAATCTTCAAGGATAAAAAATCAATTGTACTGATATGATATTCTATTGCAATATATTATAACATTTGATTATCAAATAAGTAACAACAAATCCTGATGTACCAATCGGTTAAGATTTCATGACATCTTGTTCAACATTAGGTTGCAATACATGTTCTTTTCAAATAGAACATGTTGATATAATTCTTGTCAATTGTTGTTTCTTTTAAATTATGATTGGTGTTGTACCCCAAAATTTGCCCTCTCTGATTTTTCAAAGATTCTCTCATAAAAAATCTCCATTTCTCGAAATTGCACAAGGTTTGCTCAGCTTAAGATACTTCCTCGGCACTGATTGCTCAAATTAAGGTTTGGGTTTTGACAAGTACAATTGGACTTTTAATGCCCCATATAGTTTCTATGGATCATATTGAGCTCTCAAGCATCATATCAAAGATGGGACTTTTGAATCCTCGAAAGGAGGAAGAAGAAGTTGTCGAATGGGCAAAGCATATCGAAAGGAGTGGTTGCAGATAACAGTTTGAATACAAAATCTGGTTCAGGCTATTTGAACCACATGACTGATCGGAATGAGTGGTTGGGAGATTTTTGACAAATCGAAGAAGGGAAAGCTTGCTTTGATCCGCAAGCTTCGACTGATCAATGGTTTCCTTCAAGCAACCTGCTTCGATCTACAAGCTTCGACAAGGCAATGGCTTCCTTCATGCTTGCTTTGATCCACAAAGCAATGGTTTCCTTATTACTTGCTTTGATCCATAAAGTAATGACTCCCTTCATGCTTGCTTTTATCCACAAGGCAATGGTTTCTGTTGTACCCCAAAATTTTCCCTCCCATTTTTACTCAAAACATGCTCCTAGAGATCCCTAAGTGCTCAAGGTGGACCAAGAATTGACCAGACTAATTCTCCTCCTAAGCAATGAACCTCTAACTAGAGTTTCACTTCTCATCAAGATGTGTAAGATCCAAAGGTCTCAAATGTTTTATGTGGTCCTAATTTATCTTCAAGATTGTCCATGACAAATTCCATGCCTTGCACAACAAGTTTGCTTAGACAATTGCTCAAATGCTTGGAAATTAACTATATTAGATCAAAAGTCAATAGTGGCCCAAATATAGTCAAACTTCATGATTATTGGTCAACATCAACATTTTGAAGTGATATCCATCATTTGATCAAAGGTTGATGATGATTCCTCAAGAAATGCTCTCAATTCATCAAAAGTCAAAAATTGCTAAATTAGGGTTTCTATATGAAAAGTCAACTGAACTTTGACCAGGCATAAATTTTGCATACTTCGTCCATTTTTCCCCAACCAGAGCTAATATTGAATAGAATTTCATTCCCTACAACTTCTCTCCAGCTCTCAAGTCCAAGAAATGCACCATTTGAAAGATACAAGCTCATACATTACATGTCATTTTCAGAAAGTCAACAAAAGCCACTTTTTTCCAAGACCTTTTACATCAAGATAAAATATTCAAACGCATAATTGAACAAAAGAGGGATTGAATTAGACATCTTGGGCTTTCCAAAAAGTCCAAGATCATCATAATGAGATAAAATTTGAGCAAGTTATGGCTTTCCCAAGTTGGGAAAATTTGGGAATTTTCAAGAATTATTCATTGAGCAAATTTGAAGTTTTAAGGCAAGGGCTCAATTTCTTAGACTTCAAGCATATTCCTAAGCTTATATAGGACCTCTAAAATTATTCTTGCCATGCCTTGCATTTTTTAACTATTTTATTCATATTTATTTTAATTTATTTCAAATAAATATAAAATAAAATGTATAAAATAATTAGAAGTAGGCTTTGGCATGTGGGTTGATGTTTTGGACAACCATAAGGCCCATGAATTAGTGCAAAGGTGTCCACATTCATTCAAATTTAAAAAAGGACAAGATTCCATGTCTTTGGCAAAGTTACAAAACATCATTCATGGCTTTAAAATCACATGTTTATGGTTGTTATTATCTTTGTTCTCTTGTCTCCTCCCTCCTCTCTATATATACATCACATTAGCAAGCATAAATGACACAAAAAAATTGCTTGAGAAGAACCACACAAAAATTGCCAAAATTCTCAAAGTTGTGAAATTCAAAACTGAATTTCTAGCCATCATTCATCCAAACCAAGCGTGCTATCTTCTTTTTTAAGATCCCAGGTGTGATACGGTGGGAGAACTGACTTGAGGTTTTGCGTTTGTATTCGCACTTGTTCGGTTTAGCAAGAGTCTGTAACACCCTGTTTCCAATTAATTGATTTATTTAAATTTGGGAATTTATTTTATTAGAATTAATAAAATAAAAAGAATTATTTATTTTGGAGTATTTGAGGAAAATAAAAGAAATAAGGAATATTGGGATTTTTATGTTATTGGGCTTAGATGTTGTTAGTAAAGAGTGGGGGTGCAGAGAAATAAAGTTATGTTTGGGACTTAGGCCATTTTCTCATTTTTGGTTTTCACGTAAGAACAGAAGTTGGAATTTGGGAAAATAGAGCTCTGAAGAACGGAGAACGAAGAACCTCGCTCAAAAAGTTCAAAGCTGCTAATTGATAAGGTAAGGGGGGTTTATACTCGATTTATATTTGTTTATGGGTTTATGTACGATTGATTCGGGTAATTGTAGGAAAATCCCAATTGTTAGATGTTTCTAGGGATCGATAACCGTAGGACTGAACCTTGTTAGAAAAGGGTTAGGTTTCCAATTTTTATGAATCGATTAAGAGTTTTAGGTCCCAAATGAGGAATTGGGAGTATATATCATGATCGTGAATTTACCTTGGAAGTTG